GCTGGTTTGGAACTCCTCACCTCATGTGATCAACCGCCTCCGCCTCCAAAAGTGCTGGGATTACAGATTTGAATCACCACACCCAGCCAGCCACCACACCCACCCGGCCACCACACCCACCCGGCTGACAATCTTTTATCTTAACTTGAACATTACCTTTCTATGAATCCCAGTCTTTACAGAAACTCAACCAAATGTTTTGTTTTGTTTTGTTTTGTTTTGTTTGAGATGGAGTCTTACTCTGTTGCCCAGGCCGGAGTGCAGTAGTACGATCTCGGCTCACTGCAACCTCTGCCTCCAGGGTTCAAGCAATTCTCCTGCCTCAGCCTCCTGAGTAGCTGAAATTACAGGAGCATGCCACCATGCCTGGCTAATTTTTGTATATTTTTTAGTAGAGATGGGGTTTCACCGTGTTGACCTGGCTGGTCTCGAACGCCTGTCCTTGTGATCCTCCTGCCTCGGCCTCCCAAAGTGTTGGGATTACAAGCGTGAGCCACTATGCCGGCCACTCAACCAATTGTTAACCACAAAATGTTTAAATTCACCAATAGCCTGAAACCAACCCACCGCGCTTTGAGTTGCCCCACCTTTCTGGACCAAACCAGTGTATTTCTTAAATGTATTTCAATGTTTCATGCCTCTCTAAAACGTACAAAACCAAGCTGTGCCCCAACCACCTCTGGCACATGTTCTCAGGACCTCCTGAGGACTATGTCACAGACCAGCTCACTCATATTTGGCTGAGAATAAATCTCTTCAAGTATTTTACAGAGTTTGACTCTTTTCATCAACACTAATATCGCTATGTCATTAATTTCTAAATATATTGTAATTTCAAATTCACCATGTGCATTCTGAAATAAGAGAATTAAATTTCATTTTAAAATTGTAACGTATTTTAGATATTTTCTGTTTTCTGTTTCTCAATGTTCTGTCACGTGTGGATAACAAAGCCAATACAATACTCTTCAGAAGTCGTTTAGATTTATTTTCCCTTAGAGAAAAAATAATTTTGCAATATTTTTAAGGATAAATGGCAGGCAGGTTATTTTCCTTCATATGAACTCTCAAGAAAGGACAACTCGGCCAGGCACAGTGGCTCACGCCTGTAATCCCAGCACTTTGGGAGGCAGAGGCAGGCGGATCATGAGGTCAAGAGATTGAGACCATCCTGGCCAACATGGTGAAACCCTGTTTCCACTAAAAATTAGCTGGACGTGGTGGTGCGCACTCTAGTCCCAGCTACTCAGGAGCTGAGGTAGGAGAATCACTTGAACCCGGGAGGCAGAGGTTGCAGTGAGCTGAAATTGCACCACTGCATTCTGGCCTGGAGACAGAGCAAAGAAAAAAGAAAAAAAGAAAGGACAACTCAATTATTAAATTTTTATAAGTAGCCTCATTTCTTAAGGCAATAATTCCACGGCAATCTCCAAGTTACCATGTAATATGGAAGTATGTTTTTCTGTCACATCATTATAATTCTGTATTATGCAATATTGCTCAGTAGCCAAAAAAGAACACTGCGCCTGGACTTCCATGCTTCCATGCAAAAAAAAAAAAAAAAAAGAATCAATTATAACGGTTCTTGTTAACCTCAGAACGGTAGACAAGAAGCTGATTATAGCTGAAAGTCATTATTCCATTTTGTATATGTAAAGTTTCTTTGCTTCTAGAAATGTCAAGGAAGCAACATGGACATACTGATTCACAAGAGATTTAAAAGAATATTTCCTGCCAGGCACAGTGGCTCATACCTGTAATCCCAGCACTTTGGGAGGCCGAGTCGGGTGGATCACCTGAAGTCAGGAGTTCGAGACCAGCCTGACCAACACGGAGAAACTCCGACTCTACTAAAAATACAGAATTAGCCAGGTGTGGTGGCACATGGCTGTAATCCCAGCTACTCAGGAGGCTGAGGCAGGAGAATCGCTTGAACCCGGGAGGCGGAGGTTACAGTGAGCTGAGATAGCACCATTGTACACCAGCCTGGGCAACAAGAGCGAAACTCCGTGTCAAAAAAAAAAGAATATTTTCTCAATCACAGAAATATTTTGACATATACATCCTTGTAATATCATTATAAGAGAAATGCAAAGTATTAGATGTTTCCAAAAGTTGTAGAAACTACTTTTTTTTTTAAATAGGGTCTCACTCTGTCACTCAGGCTGGAGTACAGTGATGCCATCTCAGCTCACTGCAGCCTCAATCTTTCTGGTTCAGGTGATCCTCCCACCTCAGCCTCCCTAGTAGCTGCAACCACAGGGCGTGCCACCACGCCCAGCTAATTTTCATATTTTTTAGTAGAGATGGGTTTCGCCAGGTTGCCTAGGTTAGTTTCCAACTCCTGGGCTCAAGCCATCTGGCTGCCTTTGCTTTCTGAAGTGCTGGCATTACAGGCGTGAGCCACCATGCCTGGAACTAGTTTCATCTATTGAGCTGATATTATAGCCAGTGTCATGGGAAAGAGCATGTGCATATTCTAACACAGACGGAACAATGAAAATGTTTACTACTGTCAAAAAAACAAATCTAGATATTGGTTAGATTTGATTCAAAAGGTATATTGCAATAGGAAAAATGCTCCAACTACAAGATCTGCAAATGTATGAGTTGCACAGAAAAGGACTTCTCTTTTATACAGAGAAGGAAGCAAGGTTAGAAAGCACCAGGTACAGGGCAGTGGATGAGCATCTGCTGTGACCTATTCAGCGAGTATTTTATCCTAAGGTCAGCTTACTCTTGGGATGGGATATTAAAAACAAAGCTGGGCCGGATGCAGTGGCTTATGCCTGTAATCCTAGCACTTTGGGACGCCAAGGTGGGTGGATCGCTTGAGGACGGGAGAGTTCAAGACCAGCCTGGCCAACATGGTGAAACCCTGTCTCTACTAAAAATAAAAAAATTAGCTGGGCGTGGTAGCACACATCTGTAATCTCAGCTACTGGGGAGGTTGAGGCAGGAGAATTGCTTGAACCCGGGAGGCAGAGTTTGCAGTGAGCCAAGACTCCATCTCAACAACAAACAAAAAGAGAAGTTGTTCTCAATCACAGTGCCCATATGTGGTTAAGAAAGAGGTTGTTAGCCGGGCACAGTGGCTCATGCCTATAATCCCAGCACTTTGGGAGGCCGAGGCAGGTGGATCACCTGAGGTCAGGAGTTCGAGACCAGCCTGACCAACACGGAGAAACCTGGTCTCTACTAAAAATACAAAATGAACCAGGCACAGTGGTGCATGCCTGTAATCCCAGCTACTCTGGAGGCTGAGGCAGGAGAATCGTTTGAATCTGGGAGGCGGAGGTTGCGGTGAGCTGAGATCGTGCCATTGCACTCTAGCCTGGGCGACGAGTGAAACTCTGCCTCAAAAAAAAAAAAAAAGAGCGAGAGAAATAGAGGCTGTTCTGAATTTCAGTGGCCAAGAGTAGTCCAACAGTCAGGGGCTTGGAGAAACAGGGAAGCCTAAGATTTGAGTAAGTCAACCAGCATTATTCCCAGGATCAGTAAGAAATCCTTGATGAGACACACTGTGGGAATTTGGAGCTTTTTCTTATGTAAACAAAGAGGGTAAGCTTTGAAGTAAGCGGTGTCTAGGGAAAACAAAAACAAGGGACTGGGCAGGCGAGTGGTTTCCGGTGGGTTTTATTTATTTATTTTTTTGCTTTTGCCCTAGAG